AAAACTGTCGAGGCCCTACCTTCTTCGCATGCTCATCAGTCATCTCTGTGAGATTCTTTACATTTACCACGTGGTTGGCTGCGGGGAGACCGAGGACCCGAGTGCCATCAAAAGAGATTTTGATATCTTCGATTAGACTAAAACCTCCGTTGATGATAGCTACAGCATCTGTATCAGCGTAGTTTAAACCGTTTGCTTTTTTGTTGATCTTGAAATCTATTTCGAAGTAAGCGTTATACCAGTCGGGGACAGATTCAGAAGCTGTAGTAGTGTCTACGGTAAATTTATAAGCATCTTTCTGCTGATAGGCCCCGTTAGCAGGTGCTGCTTGCAGTGGTGTGTCGAGTTCGTATGAGTAATATTCATACGCCTTGGCGTATTTTGAGGTTCTCATCTGAGACATGTTACTTGTTGTTTGTTGAGGTTTTGATCTTGATGAGAGTCAAGACTTTTTTATTGCAAAAAAAGTTTATCAAAGAGACTAGACACTTCTGAGGGTTCTTTTTTAGTTTTAGGCTTAGCACCTTTAGCACCATTGGTAGCAGTAGTACCTTGAGTACTAGGTGTAGTACTAGACGTACTTGCTGGTGCTTGAGTTCTCCACGATTTATCTTGTTGTAGCAGCTTTACAAGCTTATCTCCTTTGTTTTTCTCTGTCGCATCAGTCGTGACTGGTGTCACTTGTGGTGTGACTTGTGGTGGTTGACTAGCATCACCTTGCGACCGTTTTGAAAATTTATCATAGACCGTTTCACCGACTAATTGCCCCATCTTATCACCGATTTGCTCAGCACCCTTCTCAATCGCTTTAGTCCCCGCTTTTGTTGCAAGCTCTTTCGCAGCTTTACCCGTAACCTTGGCAGCTACTTTTGAGGCTACATTTTTGACAACGTCAAAAATTCCTTCACCTTCTTGCGCTTGGTAAGTGTCGTCAATATTTTGTAATATGGGTTTGCCATCAACACCCAGTTTTATATGTTTTCGACCCATGACAAAGTCTTGTTTTTATTTATATCAGGGTAAGATATAAATAATTATGTTTTTGAAAACGTTTACTTTAGCAAAAGTGTTAGTGAGACGGCTGTGCCGTTGAGGTCTAATGGCCTCCCAAGGGAATCGGTTATGTATATCCGCAAGTCTCTGATAGTGCTCGTGTTTATTTTGTTATATTTCTTTTCCATCGGTTCGAGATGCAAGGGGAAACTGAGGGGTAAATTATCAACCGAAAATCGAAAGAGAACGTCCGATCCTTTCCCACCAAAAACCGAATCGGAGATAATATTTGTACGGATATAAATATCATCCACCGAGCGAGTGATATCTGGCAGCTTGTCACCATAACTGGTCGCTGTCACGATTTTCTTTGTAAAACCGATAAGATCTCCAAAGTCACCTGTTCGCAGGTCGACTTGATAACCATCATCGAGACCGATCAGACATTTGAAAAGGGCCGGTACAAATTTGAGCTCGATGCCGGTTTTAGAATGCTTCGAAGATTCAAGCTCTCGCTTAATATAAGCGTTTAGTTCTGAATAAGAGAAATTCCCATCAGGGAATTCGATTTCATGCCACGTGTTCCCAGAATCGTGACTATATTTGAGTTTGTTGTTGTTGTAGGTGTTGCTAACGTTGTACCACGCGTACGACATCGCCAATTCGTCAAGAGCAACATAGTATTTTGTGTTTGGGTCTAACTTCATCACAGGGTTGAAGGTAGTAGTAAAATTGTGGCTCACACCTCTCGAACAACTCAGAGAGCTAATACCGATAGGAGTTGGAGGTTTATGATTTGAGGCAATTTCCATGTTGACTGCAATTATTTGGTCAAGCTTAGATTCCATTAGCTCAGATATTTTTGTATGTATGCATCATATTGTTTTTTCGAAATTTGGTTTTTCTTCCGGAGGTAATCGATAATCTCGATTATTGCGTTACGAAGGTCAATAGATGTGTTACCCGCTTCTCTAGAGGCTGTCAACATCTTTAATTTTTCTATGACTTCTTTGATATCGGTAAATATGAGTCCTCCAGCCATTTTCGCTTTGCCAGAAGACTTGTGTAAGGGAAGGCCGGCGAGTTTTGAGAGATGTTTGAACATTTCGATTGATTTTTGTGAATAATTTGTTTTGGGGTTGTGTCTCTTTGTTAAGAGATTAATGAGAGATTTGTCACCTTGTTTTTCATAAACCGGTTGACCGGTTGAAAGATCACTCGCTTCAACCACCATTTCGTTAAATAGGCGAGGAATGTTAATGAGGAGGCCACCAAATTGTCCGTACCCATTAACTTTGTAGGCATTTCGTTTTGGTTGTGTATATTTACGCTTTTTGCGACCCTTGAGACCTTGACCTTGCGTGACAAGTATTTCATCACCATCCATGAATAAAGTAAGACGATCTCTATATTTTTTCAGCGTCTTGACTTGTCTCTCGAGTTTTTTGATTTCGTCTTTATTTACCTCTTTAGCATTCGACATACCGGCCTTGACTTTGTTCGCGTGGGTGATTCTATCATGCAAATCAAACATGTGTCCATCGTAATCGAATTGCTCCTCAAGTATCTGTTTGAATGCGGTTTTAGGTGTTTCATAACCGAATTTTTTAATAAGTTCAAGTTCGCCGAGTTCGTCTTGGGTGAAATCTTTGTCTGGGTCTGGGACTTTCATTTTCGGTTTAGGTGGTGGTTCAAGAGCTGTTGGGCTTTGTGGTGGGCTTTCGAATGTGTCTAGCTCTTTGAGAAACGAAAGATCTTGAGTAAGAGCCTGTTGATTCTCATCTAATTTTGCAATGAGCTGGTTTTGTTTGTCGTCTATTGTTTGTTTGACCTTGGACAATTCCTGTGTGATCGGTTTGAATTCCTTCTCGCGTTGGATAGCGAAACTTTGCTGTACATCTTTGTAGTCTTGTACAGTCTGATAGATTTTTCTTCGCGTGCGATCGTTTTCGAGTTTGAGAGCCATATCTTTCGAAAAGTTGGCAATATCCATGTTTTTGTTAGTGGTCAAGATAATTTTTTTAATGAGAAAACACGAAGTGTTCACATGTTTTGCATGCGTGAAGGTCATCTGTTTGCGTTTCACATGATTTCAAGTGAATCACATGGTCAACACCTCGTGATTCATTTGTATGCAGAGCACGTTTCATGTGGGAATAGTTTCTCCTGCTGGAGAGGGGGGTTTAGAAATATTATGGGAATAGTTTCTCCTGCTGGAGAGGGAGATTTAGAAATATTATGGGAATAGTTTCTCCTGCTGGAGAGGGGGATTTAGAAATATTATGGGAATAGTTTCTCCTGCTGGAGAGGGGGATTTAGAAATATTATGGGAATAGTTTCTCCTGCTGGAGAGGGGGATTTAGAAATATTATGGGAATAGTTTCTCCTGCTGGAGAGGGGGATTTAGAAATATTATGGGAATAGTTTCTCCTGCTGGAGAGGGGGATTTAGAAATATTATGGGAATAGTTTCTCCTGCTGGAGAGGGGGATTTAGAAATATTATGGGAATAGTTTCTCCTGCTGGAGAGGGGGATTTAGAAATATTATGGGAATAGTTTCTCCTGCTGGAGAGGGGGATTTAGAAATATTATGGGAATAGTTTCTCCTGCTGGAGAGGGGGATTTAGAAATATTATGGGAATAGTTTCTCCTGCTGGAGAGGGGGATTTAGAAATTTGCATAAAACCTAGACACCACAAAAAGCCGTCACACAACACGCCGTCAAAATTATACCATATGCACAATAATTTGACGTGAATGCGTTGGACCGAGCCGCCAAAAAGTGTCAAATTAATGAAAAATGGGGGAGAAAAGTGCAAATTAATGTATAATCACGATAATATGACGTGAATCATGAAACTGTCCTCGAACCGGCACTTATCCTACTTATTTTTACTTATTTAAAATAAATAAATGATCTTTGGCAGATTCAACATCCCAACCACGCTTTTTTAGCAAATCATATAAATCTTTCTTTGTCATCTTATACAATCCAACAATCGGTGGGTTATTATAACTCATTGCAATTGACATGAGTTGATCCTTTGTAAGTATACAATCTTCAATGCTGTATTTGTATAACATTGTTGGTGAAGCCATTGGTTCATCTTCAACAAGACCTCGCTTTCTGAGATCGTTGTAGAGTTCCTCTTTTAGTTTTTTGACTGATATTTTATTATCTTTTGCAATCACTTTTAGCTCATATATTGTGTAACTTTTAATATCTCCTCTGACAAGGTTTTTCTCTCGCATCTTTTTAAACAGGTCATTCTTGTTCAATTCATATATGCTCTTCATATTTGCGTCTTGCGCAAGCTTTCGCAGTTGAGCAATTGTATAATACATATCGGTTTTGGTTTTATAAAGTTGCTAAAGTGTTTAAATAAAGTATGACTTTTTTCCCAAAGTGTCAAAATTATACTATATGCACAATAATTTGACGTGAATGCGTTGGGCCGAGCCGCCGGAAAGTACCAAATTATTGTATATGCACAATAATTTGACGTGAATGTCGTTGAGTTAGGCCTTGAAAAGTACTAAAAATAACTAATTTAACTTAGATTCTCGTTAATGTGACAAAAGTGTGCCAGAATCGGCAACATGCCTACTACTGAGATCACGGAATGCGTAAGCGAAACTGCTATGTAAACATTGGAGTTGAATTCTTATTGAAGATATCGCAGTTACGACCCTCCACTGTCGAGCCGTACCAGTCTTGCTTAGGTTATGTTACGACCCTCCACTGTCGAGCCGTACCAGTCTTGCATAGGTTATGTGTGTGCCTTTTGAGTCAGTCGACGTGTGCGCAATCAGTTTTCCTTTGTGTATACAGTGTGTAATTACCAGATTTATCTATCTCTCTTTTGTCATTGATGTTATCAGACGAGATCTCGGAATATCTGTTTTCACGTTAAAGTACTTCTACTATATGAAATCATTTTTGGTACAATCGTACAAAGCAAGCAACTCAGGTGTCTCGTTAACACAGACCTCAAGCAGACCGCAGACCGCACAGCTCGAAAAACGTGTACCCAGTGTGTAATTACAAGATTTATCTCTCTTCCCGTTGTTATCAAACGAGATCTTGGAATGCGTCGTGAAACTGAGACTAATTTCATTGTCAGTGACAGTGAGATAACAGATAAAAATAGGCAGACCAGCTGACCGTGTGGGATTTTTGATTTTCCGGCCTGTTGGGAATTGACTCCAGATAGAATATTCAACACACTTATAATCGCAACCGATCTACTTTTTAATCTATCTCTTATGAAGGGTGAATAGGTTCTCAGCTACCGCTAAACTGGATTTTTGTTGGGGTGAGTACTTAAAATTTGAAATGAATTGTTTCATCAGTTACATTTCGTTGATATAAGAACTGCACAAGTAATTGGAAACCATGATACACGCGCTTTGTCAGTAGAAGTTATGGATGAATGATCAAAACCACGAGGTCGCCATTAAGAGTACGAACACATTAAAAAGCAAGCGGTCTGTGTTTTCGCGGACTGTTTTTTTCGAGACGCTTGTAATTTATTTGAAATTCTCCAAACCTTTCCACTTGAACCTGTCGTAAATTTTTAGGATAGTTTACGTATCATCGTGAACCTTGAAAAAAATTTATCGGTTTCGTGCTAGTATGGCTGTCGTAAACAGAAAGCCCTTGGGAAAGTGTCTATGATTCTTGGCATCAAATTTTATCTCCTTCATCTCCTTCGAACTTTGCATTTGGGCGGGGAGAGAATTGCCACCTGGTTCGTTTTGAAATGCACCGCCAAAACGAGTAGAAGTCGACGTTTTGGTGAAATACCTCTGCATCCCACTTTAGCGCTCAATCTACCCAATCGTAGCGTCTTTGGTTCAACAATCCTCCCGCAAGAAACGTGTCGAAATTCCAGTGTTCATCGTTATTTTGTTCTTGAAAAATGACACAATCACCGAATAATGTCGGTGATGCCTTATAACAGTGCGGTGTTTTGGTGAATAAACATCCTGCCGTTCCAGGAATGTAGTTGATGGATTGTCAAACAAACGACAATAACTGAATCAACTGACCTCGAATGACACAAAACGGACTTGACGTACCGAGTGGTTTCCTATGACAGATGTTTGCATTATCAGACTGTCTGTATGGTCAAATTCCAAAAATATTGCGTATTTATCATTTTTGGTGCATTGAATGTATGACTGCAAACTCGTTTCGGTGGAAATCCGGCGCATACACCAGCAATATTAATTGCTTGTTTAGTTCTGAGCATTGTATAAATATTTTCAATAGCCCACCTGGATTTTAACATCTTTTACTTAAAGTAACGCATGGTCATTGAGCTCCTTTGAGATAAATTTCTAATTTGTAATTACTTGTTACACGACTGAGCCTTGCTTGATGAAGAACACAACACCTCGACCGTCGAATTATAGGAACTAGACGCATAACTGCGTGAACTCGGACTTTCAATATCGCACATCTGGAGTTCTCTTTAGGAGACTGCCATATTGCCATCGTTACTGTCGTTGTAGAGTTTAATATGCGTATCTAAACTACGGATTAAACCGGATTACACCGCGGTCCTTAACTCTCCGACTCCGTACTTTCTTCTTCTCGTTCCTATCCTATAATAGTCTTTTATATATCCCGGCATGCACTACAACCCCTCTTCTCCTAAGGAGAAGACTTAACATAACGAAACAACATGAACGGGTCAAAACGTCTCCAACACGAGCCGGATTAAAGTGTTCGGTGAACTAATTAAAATGTTCAATAAATGCTCAACAGTCTCACTCTTTCACCGAACAGAGTTCATACACTCCGTAATCTTTTAAGTACTCCGGTGGCCTCCTTTCCCTCACTGGTCTCCCTTGGGGTTCTGTTCTCCTTCCAGTGTCATCTTCCTCGGAAGAGTCATCTTCAGCAACTTGTTCATCTGCGGTTGTATCCTCTCTCAAGTATTTCTTAACATCGGCCACGTTTCTCCTCATGTTAACTCCTTCGGGTGACGATATATGACCTCGTGACCGTGCTTCTTGCTGATGGTATATGGAAGTGGGCCATAAGCAGTCGAGAGTTTGTTCTCTTTCTTTTGTTTTAAGAGTACTAAATCACCAGGTTCTAGTTCGCTCTCTTGAGCTCTCCTTTTACTATCAGCATAGTCGGTTCTCTCCTGCTTCATCTCTGCATCCTTGTCTCTCGCCTCACTGTCAGAGTACCTCGAGTTTCCCAGTTCAGGAATCTTTGATCTGATTTCCCTGTTGAACAGGAGTTTGGCCGGTGTGACGCCTGTACTGGTGTGAGGTGTAGTTCTATAGGCTGTTAAGAACTTTCGCATCTCGGTCCAGATATTCTTTTTTTCAGCTTTAGCAATCTTAAGGGCTTTAAGCAAGCTTCTGTTCTGTCTTTCAACCTCCCCATTTGCTTGAGGCCATAGGGGGGTCGAGGTGCGGTGTTCTATATCATTTGTTTCCAGGAAACGTTCAAATTCATCGGACACAAACTGTGAACCGTTGTCAGTTTTCAACGACTGTGGTAACCCATGGGTACAGAAAATCTTATCCAAACTCTCAATGACTTTAGTGGATGTCACGGACGTCAGAATGTCCACTTCGAAATATCGGCTGTAATAATCAACCACGACCAGTACATATTCCCCCGTGCCATGCCCAGCCATA